ATATACTGTAAAAAGGCCTTTTCGGTTTCGATAAATTAGGTAAGTTGTATTCTCGAATTATTTAAACTCTGTCTAATTCTTTTAATTCTGTTGAATTGTTTTTATTTATTAAATTAATTTCTAAGGGCCATCTTCAATTCCGTATCTCCAAATCCACTACTGGGGAGGTATACAAGAAGCTTTGCAAAAGCTTGGTGCAAAGGTGATCGTTACTAGAGTTCCCAGGTAATTATGTCTGGATGAGAACGATATGAATTTATATAAAACATTCTAATATTTCGGGCATTTTCTATAAAAGGACGGGATGTATTCGATCTCGTGCTCAGGCTTTGCATCACACCTTGGAAACAACTCTTCCTGGAATAGATGTGAACTTACTTGCGCATTCTATGGTTAGGGATCACTGTCAATTTTATATTGGCCTTTATTATCAATTAATAATTTATTGATTCGACAGGGCGGGCTTGATTGTAGATATCTGATCACTCATCTTCCAACGAGGCGTTGCACAGTTCGTTCACTGACCACAATATCAACTCCACATCGTGGCAGTTCATTTATGGACTGGTGTCGAGATAATTTTGGAGTGGGAGAACAATCACTTGAAGTGGCATCAAAGGTCATAGGTGATGCACTTGAGAAAATAACTGAGGAATCTAAGAATTTGGAAAATTTTGACATTTCGAAACAAGATTCAAAGGATCGTAACGAAAAAACAGAAACAGTTAACACAATTGATGATGTTAAAGACAAGAAATTATTTAATCTTAATTTCACACTACCAAATTTAAACTTCAAAATTTCCCTTCCACAACTTAATATCCCTAGTAGTCTTTCTTTGTTACCTCAAACCAAATCTACTCTCTTACACCCTGTTACACGATCAATTATTCATGCCTTAGACACGCCTGCATACAGTAATTTAACAACTGAGTATTGTGTAAATTATTTCAATCCCAATACACCCAATAACCCATCGGTCGCATATTATTCATATGGTGCTGCAACAGAGGTTCCTATTTGGTCACCTCTTTATTTTCCTTATCAAATTATTAAAGCAAAGGATGGGCCAAATGACGGGTTAGTAAGTGTTAAATCGGCACAATGGGGAAGATATGTCAAAACGGCAGAATGCGATCATTGGGATCTAACTGATAGATGGAGAATTAAATTTGGTTCAAACTTTGATCCGGTGGAATTCTATGTGGGCGTGGCAACATTCTTAGCTACAGAAGGATATTAACGAATTTTGTATTCTAAGAGTGTGTAGACAAAGTTAAGGTCAAGGTTTTGTTAATAGAATAATACCGATTTAGACATTATATTGCATAAATGGTTTAATATTATGATAATATATTGGGTTTCGCAATTAGTTTAGTAATACAAAATAATATTTTAATGTATTCTTATGACGCTATTTTTTTTTTAAATAAAAGGAATATACTGTTTTTAAATCGGGAAAATAAAATTTCAAAGTATTTTTTTTTTTTTTTTTTTTTAAACACTAGCTCATTCTTGCGCCAGTTCGGAAGCTTTATTATAATCAAGATATGTCCTAGGGACAACCAGGATGAGTAATTACCCGTATTGTCTAAGGATTTACAGATCAACAAATAGTATAATGGGCATCTATTTACATCTCACCTAACCAGGATAGGGTAACTATGTGACCATCTAGTGTAGGACTGTCTCTTAATTCTAACTAGGCTAAAGGATCTGAGGAGTCTATACTTTCAATTGAATGAAGTGATCCTACTATTTTAAACCTACATATAACCGAACCTGCACTTCCTAGGACCGTAGCCCATCGGATGACTTGTTGCTATTCCTATTAAGGAAACTAACATGTCAAGAACTTATCTAAGATACCCAGTATCACCAGTATTGATGAATCTTATATGGAATCTTATGTGACTCCATTAGTGTTTTAAATTTTTCTGTAGAAGCTTGTCTTGTATTATGACCTGTCTTGTTACTTAATTGGAGCTCAGTCTGGACATCCTATCACTCAAATTTTTTGCCTTATTTGGAGCCTGTCTTGTACCATTTTGTTGGCAGATTTGTATTTTGTTGTGGGCATGTTTTTGGTTATTTCCATGAGTGATTGAGTCCTTTGTATTAGAGGAAGGGTGATTAGTTCATGTTTGACACTTTGTATCATTTATTTCAGGTTATCTTGGAACCTTATCTTGTGTTTTGTTTTATTATGACTATGATAAGTGAATTAGATTCTTATTTATTTCCTGTTTGGGCACTCAGAACTAGTTGTGTGTTAAGGACTTGTGTCATTCATACTAGTCTATATAGAACCTTGTGTTGATTATTTTTTTGTTCTCATTATAGACATAATAGGTAAACAGGTTCTTCTTATATCCTTTATTGGAGCACTTTATCATAATCATGGGAAGAAAGATCTTTATATCACCTGTGGCTTCATTTCACTTGACCTTCATATGGTATTGAACTCTGGATTTTGTGATTGTGATCTGGAAAAATTTCAAAGTATTTAATATTCCATAATTTTTATATTAAATATAAATTTTATAAAAATTTTTATAGTGTGATTTATAAGTTTTGATAATTGATTTTTTTAATATAATTTTATCAAAATTGTTTAATTATAAAAATTTATAAATATATTTTTAAAAAATATAGTTTAAGATTATTTGAGAGTATGTTTTAAAATAATATTATTTTTATTCTTAAAAAATTTTTTTTGAGTACCTGTAACCAGGCTAGATTATCAATTTATTAATCAATTGAAAACATAAGTATATTTTCATTCAAGTAACATGATACATATTACAACCAAACTATTATTCTAATTTAACTAACCCATCATAAGCATAAAAGCTAATTTTGGCCTTGAGAATAATATTTTACTTCATAGTGTCTTTAAATAAAAATCCATCTAGTCCACTGCATTATTGCAGCAGGTTGTTATTGCTATATAATGTTCACAATTTTAATAATTTTAATATAAATCTGATTGATCCATGAATTGAATATAAATCAGATCAAATCAAATTTCAAAATTTTTAATCCGATCAAATTCAGATTGAATCAAGTTTTAAATTTACAAAATTATCAGATTTAAATAAAATTAAGATTAAACTCAATATAATTCAAATCAGATATGCACTAGTCTATATAAATTGTTATATAATTATTTAATTTCATTTAAATCAAACTATTTAAAAATTAAAATAGAGGATTTTTTTAAAAAATAATATACTGTAAAAGGCAAGTTAAAAAAAAATTTAATACTTGATTTTTTTGATGATTTTTTAAATATTTCTTTGTGATATTATAGTTTTACTGCTTAATTACTTTCATTATACCTATTGCTTTTGCTAATTAATTTCTTTTAAAAATAAAATATGAAAACTCATTTGATAGTATACAATTTGCATATAATAAAAATAGCAGTTTAACTAGTTATAACAATATTGATATTGAAAATACTAATACAAGCAATTCATCAGAATTGGTCTCAATTACTTCAACAATTTTTAGAAGTAAAGTATAGAAACAATTTACAAGGAGTGCAAGTTTTAAAGAGAATAAAAAGATTACTTATAAATATTTTAGGATGATATATACTTGTAGCAAAGACAATATTTCTAATCTAATGAAACATCTTGAAAAACTTATCTAACAAAATTAAATTTAATAACCAGTAACACTGAAATTATCAATTTTTTTAAAATAAAAAAAATTTCAAATGATTTTTAAATTTTTTAAAAAAATACCATTAATTTTTTATAATTATATATAGTGGATATATGACTTAACAAAAATGAAAAAAAACTTGTTTAATGAGTCGTTATCGATCAGTAATCTTTTACTATTGTCCAAGAACCAGTTTTTCTTGTTTTTATATAAACATTAACACCAGATACAAAAATACCATCAGCTATTTCTATTAAGACCTATATAATAAATTATTATTTAAATTGCCAAGAAAAATTCAAAAGATGTTACAAGAAATAGAAAGTTATATTTCATTTACACTTAATATTTGAACATCAATTTCAATAAAAACATTTTTAAGCATAACTGCCCATTTTATTGATAAAGATTGAAGAATATAGAATATAATAATAGACTTTATACAACTATAGAGTACCTATTCAGATAAAAGTATTAAAGAAGTATTTTTATTATATTTAAAGAAATTTTTTTTTTTTTTTAACCTGCAGTCAGGTTAGCATAGCGTGTCTTTATTGTATATATACTAGATATTTACAAATTATTATGACTTTTACATACTGACTCACTCATTGTCAAAAAACTATTTCTCTAAATGCAATCTAGGGAATGATATTTCACTCCTTTACTAATTTGAATAGATCCTCTAATTAATAAAATCATTGCTTACAGGTCATTATTGTAGATCATTCTAAGTTCTGTCTGCAGTTAAAAACCAAACCACTTTATTCCGTGACAAACCCAATCCTTAATAATT